GATTCTTCACTTCGGGTTTTTTGGAAGCAGACTGCTCCAAGAAGTTGCGAAAGGTGAAGAGACAATCACTGAAGCCAATCGGCAACGTCACACGCACCTCCGGCAGAGATACACCTTCATCGACACAGGCCACCGACGTCTTCTGTGAGCCGATGTCAACAACACAGGCAGTGGGAAGACCAACGCCGTAGGTTGCGCATGCGCTGGCCTGCTGTACAACGACTCGAGCAAACTTGAGATTAGTGAGTAGCATTCCGGTCATTTGACGCACCTCGCGTCGCATGAAGATGTCTTCGATCACGAGTATCACAGAGAAGAGGTGAAACGTCTTCGGTGGAATACCAAGCTATGCAGAATATTCAGCGAGTGTGCAAATAAGGAAAAAGCCAATCATCCATCAAAAACAAACGTAAGACAGATAATTCTGATAATGCATCCACGGTGCTGATAGTTGCTTTGAGTTTACTGTCAATCCAAAGCAAACTGTAATCTACGTTGTTTGGTAAAATAGGCGTCAGCAATACCAACAACGACTGGTTTGGATCGCAGAGGAGTAACACTACGTAGATATATCAACTTCTACATGAGGCTTGGATGAATTTGAATATTTCCTCAGTAAACTGTTACGTTAGAGATAGTGCTAAGCTAAAAGTAGCCGAGTCTCAAAAGTGAAAATTATGCGACTTTTTGCTCTCGTGGATCTTCCTAACCTCTTCTATGGATGACAGGAACGCTGAGAAGATGGGGCCCACTTTTAAGCTTGAGCGAGGATTGAATAGCGCTTTCGCGTGTGACAGAGGGCGGAACGGAATCCAATGAAGGCTGGCTACAAAGTAAGCAGGCTATCGGATCCGACAAGTTATCAGTTGATGGACGTGCTATTACTATGATGAATCGTGCGAAATGTGTATGCTACTGACTGCTTGCTAGTAGGCAATGGGTATAACGTTAATATTCCGCTGAAACAAGCGGACTTCAGTTCAAATATTCAGGTCAACTTTCTGATCGAGCTAAAAAAAAATACTTGTTCCGAAGGATTTGCCCCAAGTTAGCGCATGCATTCTTGCAGAAATTAAAAATCTACAGTTCACCACTGTCCCGAAGACAAACTTATGACTTACGCGTGAATCTAAGGGAACAGAAACCTTCGTAGCATCCGCCTCACATGCTTACAGCCATTATATTTTCATGCATCACCCTCTAAACGGGCGCGTAGTGCATGCGCTGGATCAACAAAAGAGGTTAGATCCTGGCACCGACAGCGAGATTCGGGTTGAGCTCCCACAACAAAAGCGGCATATGGGGTGACACGCGTAGGTGCAGGCTCACGTCGCACCAGTCATCTACTCTTGATCCCTGACCGATCAGACTGTAATATTGTGCGTGCCACTTGTGCACGACCCCGCTCCCGGACTTTTTGACTCCGTCCTGACACCGGGCACGGACGGGTGAGTGGAAAGG